AAARRAAAAAAAAGTGCCACTGGTCCATTAGAGGACTGGTCTTAAGAGAAATGTCAGTATCCGTTGGTCATAGTAGCAGTCATTTTCTGTATTTCTTTAGTTTAATAAGATTTGCTGTGAGGTTACATCTTTGAAATTCTTTAAAGACTTTACAGAATTAAAAGCAGTATATACATTTATTAAAACAAATTACAAAAAAAAAACCCTTTTCTTTAAATATTTTTTGAAACAAAAATACTATCGTTATGGCTGCTGTTTTTCCAATATATAATCAGAAACAGTTTGTTTTAGGCATACCAAAACATAAATTCCTATTTATTTGTGTGATCATCAGCTTTCACTTAGGTTTTTATCCTTGTATCTCAATACATACTGAGTTGTTATCTTTCAGTTAGGAGTAGTTAATAAAGCAAGACCCCAATCCTGCAGGCTCTTAGATAAGCACAATATCTTACTTCTCTTGAACACGCTGAGAGTTTACTTACAAACCTTAGGCAACAAGCATATTCACTGAGGAGAGAGGATAATACTGGAGAATTAAAAGAATTGATACAGATTGTGAAACAATGCTAAATTATGCTAAATTTTCYGTTAGAAATTGTTCTTGGAGGAAAAAAATGTGATTTCAGTATAACGTATCAATTTATTCTTTGAATTTTCTGCCTCCTAAAACCAGTCGCAGAGTTAAACAGGATAGTGAAAATTCCTACTGGAAATTCTGGCTTTCTTTTTCACAGTAATATTTTTCCATTGTATTTCTTGAATAACTTTAATAGAGCCTCACGTGTTTAGGCTCTCGGACACTCTTAACCCCGTGCTTAGCAAACTTTGAAATTTCAAGCCCTGTACACAGTAGTTTTGCATGCTAGATTATRAACTAGTTGTAGTCTTGTCTGTTGCACCCTGCTCTGCTTCATAATTAGTGGCTTTGGGGCGGGCTGGGGGACGCAGCGATTCTCCCCGGTGGTGCTGGGGCTGCGCTCTGCAGGCCTGCAAGGCGGCTGCTCCGGGCCAGCGGCGCTGCTGCGCGCTGCAGGACAAGGGGAAACAGGAATTGGGGCGCTCGCTCGCTCKCTCTCGCTCACGTGGGGGCTGGTGTTGAGCAGCCCGCTGCAGGAACGGCGACGGCAACGGTGGCTTCCTGCACTTGGAGCTGCCAAAGAGCCTGTGCCACAGGGGATGCTGCTCCTGCCGTTCGGTCACGTTTCTGCAGTCTTGCATTATATTTTTGATTTGAAGAGAATCCCTTTTTCATGGCAAAAGACTGTCGTTGGCAAATGGTAGAACAAGCATCTCCCTTCAGAAACGTTCTTATCTTTTTATTATTATTTACTATTAATAAAAAGACTTTTAGGCTGCCTGGCTAATAAGCATAAGAACTCATCTAAGGCAGCCCTAAAATGGTTTATGAGTATTTGGATGACTTGTTTGTTTTGGGTTTTTGCTTTTTTGCCTTTCCCCCTAGAAAGGGAGACTGCGTTTTCATGATTAGATTTTGAGCAGTTCCTTTTCTTTTGTATCATTGAAGTAATAATGTTTTCTTTAAGGCTACATTATGTTACAGGCATCAGGCGTAGAAAATATAAATGTGACCATTCTTAAATCAAGATCATAATGACACAAATGGAGGTTTGATATTTYGAAAGTACCTGCAGTGGCTGAAGTGTGTTTAATGTCACACTTTTGACCTTATTAGTAGTGTTTTGTACCAGTGTAAACAAGTAAATGCAGAGTACTACGAGGTTCTTGCCATGTTGCACTTATCCATGAGGATTAAAAAGTTAAGACTAATAATCTGAGTTCCATACTACAGCTAGTAGAATACCTGTAGTATACAATATTATAGTAGTAATGCCTATAGGTAGTGTGTATGTACGCACACTATGAATATATAACGTGTTATTTTTGTGAGTGATTGTTATAAGTCACCAAAGATGGTATAACTTAAATGATCTGTGTTTTATGCAAAGGTCTCTGTGAAGACTGTGGCAGTCTAAATCCAACGTCTGAAGAGCTCGTTACTGCAATATGTAATTTCCGTTCTGTAAAGTATTTAGAACCACCATATATACCACTCCTGTCAAGTTGTTTTCACGTTGCCTTAGCGTTACCTTGTACAAAGTTGCCATGTCAGTGGGACAGCTGATATGGGATACTAACCAGATGTGAATTCTGCTGCTAATTGCGGCTGTGCCCAAAAGGAGAGGTAGAAAGAGAAGAAATAGTCCTTAGAAACTTTACTGTGTATTGGGTTGCTTCCTCTGGTTTAGGTGTTATACTTGATAATTTTTCTTTCTTTATGTAGATCCCTACTTTTTGAAATGGACTTCAAAAAAAAAGAGGGGAGTGATATTAAAAGAAAATGATTTTTTTTTCCTGAAATAACAGTATAGACTTATAACATTCTCCATGAATGTATTTAATTAGAAAATATTACTTGGGCATTGATCTGTGTTTTGAGATTGAGTAGGGAATTACATAATGTGYATTATAAAAATCATTGTGACCTGTAACATAGTGCAGCTTTAATACAGTGGCTTATCCTTAACTTAAGTTCAGACTTCATTTCATGCTTCCCAGCCTTCTGTCAAAAGACTGTACTGTCATTGCAACTGCAGTAGCTCTGAAATTAATTGCAAGGCTTGTGGACTACTGTGTCTGATCTCTGCTTGCAGCACAAGCAGCGCTGTCCTGTGCTGGAGGACCAGCTGGTGGATCTGGTAGTTTATGCCATGGAACGATCAGAGACCGAAGAGAAGTTTGAYGATGGTGGAACCAGCCAGCTCTTGTGGCAGCATCTGTCCAGCCAGCTTATTTTCTTTGTGCTCTTTCAGTTTGCAAGTTTTCCTCATATGGTCCTATCACTCCACCAAAAGGTAAATTGTTTGTGTCGCTCCTGCTTGGTAAGACGCACTTCATTGGGGACACCCATTCGTTTTGAAAGAATCTGGTGTGTAAGAATTAAATTTCTGATAAACTCCAGTTGCATGGTGTGAGCTGAGTCCTCTTACAGTGTATCCAGTTATAGGATATTCTGTTATATTCAGACACATAGTATATAAGTAGATAGCATCAGGATATAAAGTGGCATAATTCAAATGACCTGRATACTATGCTATAGCATCCAAATTCCAGCCAGGCTTTAAAATGTAACTACAGTTCCTGTGAGCTAAAGAAACATACAGTGTAAACAGATGCACAATTATGGCTGGTTGGTCTAATGAAAGTACTTGCAGTGTGTTTTGTGAAATCATTTGCCAGTTACWGTGATATTAGCAATTGTAGTCCAAGTTATCTAGTTACTGCTAGTTCCTAGCAATAATACAGTTTCTGATTTCGATGGCAGGAAAAGAGGAGTTTTCCCYTCACTCCAGGGTTCACTTGAAGCTGTTTAGATGGTTTTTAAAACTCAGTCCACTTTGCTTCGTCTTCATGGGCTCATGGTTCTATGTAACATCTGAATTTACGATGTATGGTGCGTTTTACATTGTAGGATACTTTTTGTTGTCCAGAAAAGTAGTTGCATCAAAATCCTAAGGTTGCTGTCCTATAATGATCCTTATTTAGGCTCTGGTGAAACAAGCCCRTGATATTCTGGTTGTGAGACATACAAAGTTAATGTAAAGCCCATGGCACTGCCAGCTAGAGGTGGCAGAGCTCTGTTGACCTGGCTACAGGGCTACAACACAACACATCTAGTTTCTGCTTTTCAGAACTGTGACCCTCAMGTGCTGAATGTGTTTTCAGTCCTACCAGAATTTAAATTAATAGTTGTGACCCTCCTGGGTAGTGTCCCTCTGTTAGGACCAGGGTGCCCGTTTTGCCCTTTTACCAAAAACCTGCGTTTCMGTTCAAGCTGAAACAGTAATGGGTGGAAACTGGAACTATTTTAGCCTGCCCTTTTCTTCTCATGGGAATCTTTGCAGTGGTGTTGCTTGGTGCGGTATCTGTCCCTTSCTGAGTGTGTTTAACAGTTGGCAGGCCGGGGCCTCATTAAAGGAAGAGACCATCTGATGTGGGTGCTGCTGCAGTTCATCTCCGGCAGCATCCAGAAGAACGCGCTGGCCGACTTCCTCCCAGTGATGAAGCTTTTTGACCTCCTGTATCCTGAGAAGGAAGTAAGTCCTCTCTTTGAAACTGATGAATATTCAATTATTATTCCACCTGAGATCTTAATAGATGGGTGTTATTGCACAAAAAAGGGAGACAAAATGGCTATTTCAGCTGCACGAATATACTAGAGCGTGTAACCCCCACATTCCTTGAGTTTTAGGGTGTGTATGCTCCTTTTAATGGGAAGGCTGTTGACCTTTGGTTCTAGTGGTGAGAATTCTAATGCTAGAAATGTTAGATATCCAGAAAATACTAGTGAACCACTGAATACCTACTCTGGACRTTACTATGATGTATGTATGATAATTATTTCTGAATCATATCTTAGGCAAGTCTAAGTATATACTTTTGTAACAGCATGCCTTGAATTTGTATATGAATTTTAATATTTGCTGAGCTTTTAGATGGTTCATTCTGTTTTAGGGATAATAATAATAAAGGTAGTATTATCCTCCAGGTATTTTGAGTTAGAATTGCATAAGAATACTGTCTGTCCCTTCAATATTTTGTTTATGGTGCTGGAAGATAGAAAAAGAACTGAGAATGTTACTTGTCTAAGTTGTTTTTCTGTATATAAATACATGCAAATATGTTATGTACATTTGTGTTTTTCTCTAGTGTATTCCTGTACCTGATATTAACAAGCCCCAGTCAACTCACGCGTTTGCGATGACTTGTATTTGGATTCATCTGAATCGGAAGGCCCACAGTGATAACTCCAAGTTACAGATTCCCATTCCCCATTCTCTGAAGCTTCACCATGAGTAGGTTTTGTGTGTGTGTGTGTGTGTGTGTGTGTGTGTGTGTGTGTGTCTGTCTGTGTGTCTGTGTGTTCGTTTGTTTTTAGGCGTAATGGGAAAAGAAGCTCCAGGTCTGTATTCATAAGGTCCTATGCGATGGGATACTGTTTTATTTCTTCAGTCACTCCATAAGAGGGCTAATCAAAGGGCCAAACAGTGCTAAGAGCTCAAACTCAAAATACTTCATAAAAGTTTAAATGCTGTTATGACACTTTAAATGATGCATTACAACTGTGAGCATCTAGTGATGGAGAATCAGGAAAYAAATGGACTGTTCTGTTTTACTAAGCTATTATTTGAAAGGAAAGAAATGTGGTAGTTTGYGTATGATAAGCAGTGTAGCTTTAATTTATAAAGGTGGTTTTTAAAATGTATTTAAATAGGGTTTCTCTTCTGAGGAGAGGCTGAGAGAGTTGGGTCTCTTAAGTCTGGAGGACGCTGAGCAGGGGGGTCTTACTGGAGCACATAAATCCCGTAAGGGAGAGCATTGGGATGGGGCCACCTTTTTTAGYTGGTGGCCAGCGACAGGACAAGAGGCAGCGGTCACAAACTGAAACCCAGGGAGTTCCATCTGAGTACAAGGGAAAACTCCTTGGCTGTGAAGGCCACAGAGCGCTGGAGAAGTTGTGGAGTCTCCTTTGGAGATGCCCAAAACCTTCCTGGACATGACCCTGCTTGAGCAGAGAGGCTGAACTAGATGATCTCTRGAGGACCCTTCCAACCTCAGACAAGATGTGATTTTTCTACAGCTCTGCTACTGGAGCATTTAGTAGTGGATAGGGTTTTTTATTTTTATTAAGAAGTTAAGTTTTTTATTAAGAAGTAAGAAATTAAACTAACTGGGACTTAAGATCTAGTTATTTAATGTGGTATGATTGATGAGTGTGTGTTTTTCCTACTGTTTTACAGTGGTTTTGTGACAGGGGTTATTTGTGACTGTAACCGTGCAAAATGTGTGTTTTCTGCTTGGTTTCCATTCCATGCCCCCTTAATGATTAACCTTTCTTTGATATGCAGGTTCTTGCAACAGAGTTTGAGAAACAAAAGCTTGCAGATGAATGACTACAAGATTGCCTTGCTGTGCAATGCATATTCTACCAATTCAGAGTGTTTCACTTTGCCCATGGGTGTGCTGGTGGAGACCATTTACGGAAATGGCAATATGAGGATCCCTCTTCCAGGGACTAATTGCATGGCATCAGGCTCTATCACCCCTTTGCCAATGAACCTCTTGGATTCACTCACAGTTCATGCCAAAATGAGGTACAGGATGCAGTCAGTTGTATTTTGTTGTTGTTGTTGTTGTTAGTTGTACTTTTTTTTTTTTACTTTTTTTGTGATTATGCTTTTTTTTGGTTTTTTTTTGGTTTTTGTTGGTTGGTTTTGGGAGAGAGTATTTATATCTGTAAGTCCTTATATAACTAATTGTCAGCAGGGAAGTTTTCTCTTTGTTTCAAAATATCTTGTGTGAGACTGTTGATTTATATAACAAAAACCTTAAATTTCAAGTACATAATTTTTAATCAGAAATACTCTTTGTTTTTTGTTTTGTTTTTCTCCTCTAGCTTGATTCATAGCATAGCTACAAGGGTGATTAAACTGGCTCATGCCAAATCTAGTCTGGCCTTGGCACCAGCTCTCGTGGAAACCTACAGCCGTTTGTTGGTTTATATGGAAATAGAGTCATTGGGCATCAAAGGCTTTATCAGTAAGACAGATTTTTTTTTTTTCCCTCTTCCCCTTCAGTAACGTTTTTCTGTTTGAATGGTAACTGCAAGCCACAGAAAAAAAACAAGCAAAATCTAATGATGCAATATGATGAGTACATAGATAAATTATCTATCTATATAAATAAAACCATAATTTTAGCCCTAATGCTGCAGTAAACTGCAGTAAGTGTAATGCTATCCTGTTGTGGGAACTCTGATGGTCAGAGATTTTCTAGTTAGCTGCAATGTGCAAAATATGCTTGTAGATATTCTTAAAAATTCTTACTAAATTAGACGCAAGTCTGTTTAATTGCACACTTTTGATGTGGATGTCTCCTGTATATATGTTCAGTCAAAAGATTATTCAGGATTATTCAGCTGTCTGCTTTTAGGACCTCTAAAGACAGTTTCTTGYACATACACTCTATAGAAGCACTGCAGTTACCAAACTGAATATCTGACTTGCAGCTCAATGTATTTGTCTGCCCACAGTGTACTCTTAAGTATGTTTTAAAGAGAGTAATCCCTTGGAAAATGTGTTTTACCAACTCTGTTCTCCATAAGGTCAGCTGCTGCCCACGGTGTTCAAGTCGCACGCCTGGGGGATTCTGCACACTCTGCTGGAAATGTTCAGCTACCGCATGCATCACATCCAGCCCCATTACCGAGTGCAGCTGCTCAGCCACCTCCATTCCCTGGCCGCTGTGCCGCAGACTAACCAGAACCAGCTGCATCTGTGGTGAGTGAGGGCTGCCCTGTGCGAGCCTCATCCGCCTGAAACATCAGGAAGCAGCGGCCCCGTCGTGTCGGGAAGCGCTGGCAGCTGCCTGTGCCGCGGCTGGGGCGGCCGGTGCTGCTGGAGAGGCTCTCAGCGCCAAAAAAGGGTGACTGGCCGCCCTGCCGGGGGGCTGCTGGCTTCTGTCCTCCCGTCACGGGTGCTTGTTCCCTTACTGGAGCTGAGTTGACTCTCTAGCCTGAGTAATGAGCAAAGAAAATGAAACAAGGAGTAGTAAAATGGCATTAGTCTTCCTATTATTGACTGTTTTTGACTTCCGCATATTCCTTTTTACTTTCAAGGTCTTACTTTTATTTACTAAAATTTTGTCCTGTGTCGAGTGTGAAATACGGGACTTGGGAATAAATCTGTTTGCTTAGATGTGCACAGCTAGGCTGTAGTTAACTGATCAATAGCTTTGAGATTTGAGAGGCAGTTTTGTAAGAGTTTCTTAAATTGCTTCAAATTAACTAGCGTGAGAAGCACTTCCAACTGTAACAGTGAAAAACAAAGTTGAAATCAAAAGCAGTGCTTCCTGATTACTTTAATGAGGACAGATTAGTGCTGTCTGCTCTCAGGAGGCAGGTTGTTTTGCAGCTTCCCATTTCGTGTTCCTGCTTTTTTTCTTCTGTTCTTGTATTTATTTATTCTTGTATGTATTTATTTATTTATTCTTGTATCCGTGTCTGCTAGTCCAGCAAAGGTGTTCAAAAGGAAATYAAAGGAGGGAGCACCAAATTGCAGTGACTTGAGACTCTTTTTCATTGACTTGAATTTTAAATATATTTAAAATACAGCTATCCAGAAATAGCTAAAACAGCTTATAGATTTTTTTTCCCGAAATAATATAATTAAATTGTTGAAAATAAATTTATCGAATGGCAAAAAATGCTAATTTTTCCCAAGGGCTAAGAATATCACTTTTAAATAAAGTACTTCTGGATTAGCTGAAGCAACAGGCAGAGCAGGCGCGAGTGTTTTGCAGTCTCGGAAGCCGCCGTGTGGGTACCCCGYGCTCACTGTGCTGTGCGCCTCTTGCAGCGTGGAGAGCACCGCGCTGCGGCTCATCACAGCGCTGGGCAGCTCCGAGGTGCAGCCGCAGTTCACCCGCTTCCTCAGCGACCCCAAGACGGTCCTGTCGGCCGAGTCGGAAGAGCTCAACAGGGCGCTCATCCTCACGCTGGCCAGAGCGACGCATGTGACGGGTGAGAGCGGCGCCTGGGGCGCCGGGCAAGGGCAGGTCGAGCCCTTTCCCTAGCGTCTCGTGCAGTGGAGTGTCCCCGAGATGCCACTGTAGTAGAACCTTTTGCATCAGTTTCTGGTTTTGACGTCTAATCTAATCTTCTTTCAAAATATTGGCAACATTTTTAGGCGAATATGTTATTATTAAAGTAGTACCGGTCAGAAGTTGCTTAAAAATTGATCTAGTAGGCAGCTGCCTTATAACTAGCTTTTTCTCACTGTCTTCATTTCCAGTTTCCTTATTTCAGTGAGCCAGTTTACTGGTAGCTGCCCTAATAACATGGAATGTTCAGCACAAGTATGTTGCTGATGCAGAAGCCACCTCCTCTTTATAGCTTATCTTTTAAGAAAACGTCCAAGTTATGGCTTTATTTTGTTGGGGAAGGGAATAAGGCATTTTCAGCATATTTTAGTGTTTATGTTTAATAACATATTTTAGTGTAATGTTTAACAAATTTGCAGTGGCAGAGGTCAGGGCTTTTCAGCATTCAGGGAGATATTTTTCTGTTTCCTTCATTTACACAAGAAATGCAGTTCTAATCTGGAGACTCTCTGAAGAATTAGAACAACCAGACATCACAAAAGTGGCAAAAAATAAAAGGGAAGAGTCATGTTAGGACATTTTTTTTCCTTTTTTTGTTTAATCTCTGCTCAACCTTCAATGTTACATCAGGGATTTTGGTGGATGGGGAGAAAGAGCACTTGTATATGTGTGTGGTGCTTAGAGTTGTGTTTTTGTTTTATTTTTTGGCTTAATCGGGAAGGTGTTGCTGAGCACTCTCTTCAAAGCAGCTCTGTGCAAAYGGCATCTGGCAATTTCATAATGATTAGCTTCCTTGGGGTTTTCAAAATTAGGTCTGATCAGTTCATCAGGAAAAGCATGCTTTATTTGCATTGCAGGAAATTAAATGTAAAGCCTTAAAATYGTGCTTGATTGATTTTCAGCTGAAAGCCTAAAAATAATTTAATTATTGCTAACACCATGAAAAAGATGCTGTGCAGCTGGTTCCACGGAGCAAATAAGACTCAAAAAAGGAGAGTGGGGGAAATTGGCCATAAAGATAACCATTTTGAACTAGCAAAATCTGTAATCATGTGGCTACAAAAGGAATACCTTTGGATTTATGATATTAGTTTTTCATATCAATGTACGTCATTCATGTTGAATGTTTTTTTTTTTTTCCTTTAGATTTTTTCACAGGTTCTGATTCAATTCAGGGAACCTGGTGCAAGGACATATTGCAGACCATCATGAGTTTCACTCCTCATAACTGGGCGTCACACACATTAAGCTGTTTCCCAGCTCCTTTGCAGGTAATAGGTTCAAGCAGCCATTCCTCTACCTAGAAACTTGGAGAATTTATGCTCTTAACAGGATCCTATGCTTTTTGCTAGTTGATAGGATTCTTCTGTATGGGATACTTTAATCTCAGTTCACTAAAGAAACTATTTGTTTTTAACAGTGATATTTCTTCAAAAACTTATTATGCTTCTGGTGTATCCTGGGGTCAAGTTCTAGCATGCTGATGCTGCCAGTAGGAGGTAAATTGGATTTAGAAGAAAAAAATAATAAGAATAAAAGGAAGAATTATAGCAGACCTTTTCTCCACCATGGCAACTTGTCACATAATACTGACAAGGCAATTGCTGTCATGTCACAGTGAAGCCATGACCCCATCTAGTAGTTTGTTTTACGGCACGTGGAAGTAAAAAACTGTAAGATGTCCTAATGAAGTCGGAGCAAAGCTGCATATTCTAGGTTTCCAGCTGTGCACCGTAACAAAGCCTACTGTGCTTCAGGTGTTCTTCAAGCAGAACAACGTGCCCCAGGAAAGCCGTTTTAACCTGAAGAAGAACGTGGAGGAGGAGTACCGAAAGTGGAAGTCCATGACCAACGAGAACGACATCATTGCCCACTTCTCTGTGCAAGGCTCACCCCCCCTTTTCCTCTGTCTCCTGTGGAAGATGCTGTTAGATACTGATCACATTAATCAGATCGGTTACAGGTAAGCTTAAACACCTGCAGTTTCAAAGGTATCACAGCAAATAAGCTTCAGTTTTGAGTACCTGCAGCTTGCAATTTAGATGTTTTTTTTTTTTTTTTAAGACAATTCCAGGGAGTGGAAAAAAGAAGTGGAGCTATATATATATATATATATATTTATATATATATATATCTATTACATGTTAATTATGTCTATTTCATATAGTAATAGACCAGTATTTAAGACTAGTCTATATGTCCAGATTGGTAATATTTAAGACATATGGTAATAGACCAGTATTTAAGACTGATACCATCCCTTGGATGTAGGTATTTTATCATGTAGAAGTCAGCAATAAATCTTCCTCCTGAGGAGAGAATTACAGACAAGGATACCAGCTATTTGAGTTAAATTTGTAACGAAGCAAGATTTCATACAATTGCAAACAGTAATCAAAAAATATAAAGCATGTATCTACTATTTTTGTTGTTGTTGATAATAAAGTCTGAATATTAACCAAAGTTGCTGTGCTGGCTTAAGATAAAAATTATTTTAGAAGCCATAGTGTTGAGAGTATCTGTACTTGTACTCAGTAGTAAAAACTTCATCTCCACAGTAATGAAAAACAGATGATTCGTTTTTCAGGCCTTGTAAGGTCTGTCTGTATGAAACAATTTTATTTGGGGAAAATGCGGTAATCTTTTGTGCAGTAAGGAAAAAACAAGTTTTAATGCTGTGCTTATATTAAAACACACACTGCGGAAGAATAATAGTAAGTTGCAGAAGATTGTCAAAGGTGATGTATAATTTACAAATACAGTTGTACTTGGGTAACATGTGGAGTCTGAGCAGAACACTACCCAAATGCTTGGGAACTTGAAGGGTTTCATCTAGTTAGTATCCATAYATTACTGCTGTGCTTGGTGGAGTGAGTTTGTTTCAAGAAAATGTTTGTATAAAACCTATTCACTCTTGTAAAATGGACAAATTAGAAATGTATAAAGGATAATAAAAATTGTTTGTTGTTTTTCAAGAATTGACACAAGTAGGAAATGGAGACTTTATTCTTCTCCTTTCTCTCCATTTAGAGTGTTGGAAAGAATTGGGGCCCGGGCCTTGGTGGCCCATGTCAGGACATTTGCAGATTTCTTGGTGTATGAGTTCTCCACCTCAGCGGGAGGCCAGCAGCTCAACAAATGCATTGAGATACTCAATGATATGGTGTGGAAATACAACATTGTAACATTGGATCGGTTGATACTGTGTTTGGTAAGTACTGCCTTAAAAGTTAAGAAGCAGTAGGTTTCTTGAAGCAATACTTGGTCATTGCTTTCTGTGTCAGTTTTGTAGGAATCATCTTTTCAAAGATGCATTGGTATTTTGTTTGGTTTAATAGTGACTATTTGCTAATCCAATCAAGTAAAAATAATGTATTGCTTCAGTTAGGGACAGAAAATTCTTTATTCTTTGAGTCTTCAGGGGAAGCTTTATCTGGTTCTATAATGTAAACCATTAAATTGGCATTATTACATTYGCATTATTGCAACAATTGGCCTTATTACATTGCATAAGTTCTTGACATTATTGTTAGTGCTGTGGCTCTTTTGACTTCAGACTTGGTCAATCCTTTCTGCAAGGGGTCTGGCCAGCCATTATTCAGAAACAAATGTACCTGCTAGAGACTGTTGTCTTTGCTTAAGAGCCTTTGCTTTGCAAGCCTGCCGTTGCAAAATAATGAAGYTATCCAAATAATTAAATATTTCTTGAGTTATTATCCTTTACTTACATTTTAAAGTCTCTCCCTAACATAATGCTGTTTTGATTTCAGTTTGATATTTTCAAACTGAAGTCCAAACATGTTGAAGTATGCAGGCTTGCTTTCCTCACCATTAGTGGGGTATCCTACAGAGAGATGGGCATGCAGAAGAGACCTGGAGTTCTTGAACAACTTGTCACTCAGGATTTTGTGAGACTTTCTGCATGGGGCTTTGAAAATGGGATGGATGCTTTCCACAGCAGGTGGTGGAGCCTGCTTCTGTYCAGTGTCTTCACAGCCAAAATACAGTTGAGAGACCATATGTTCAGTGTGAATTTGCGTGCAGATGTGTCTGATGTGCCACCAGGTTGTCTGGCTGGTGTTTTAGTGGTTGTAAAGCAGACAGTAGCATCAGTTGTAAACCTTTGTTTTCTGTTTCTTTGTATTTAAAGGCTATGCGTAGCCATGAGGGAAATGAAGCTCAAGTCTGCTACTTTATAATTCAGTTACTTTTACTGAAGCCTAATGACTTCAGAAACAGAGTGAGTGATTTTGTGAAGGAGAATTCTCCAGAGCACTGGCTGCAGAATGACTGGCATACTAAGCATATGAATTATCACAAGGTAAAAAAGCTATCTTTCTTATTATACTTTCTGTGGAGTTCAGATTAGCCAAAGAATATTTTGTTTTTAAAATTATAGGACTGCTCTGAAAACTTTTTGGAGTTATTTCTAGCAGTTTGTGTGGGCTAGAATAAAATCTTGTGTGTTTATGGAATACCATTGAAATAATAATACAGTGATATTCAAAAATAGAAGCAGCTAGTTTGGTTAGAGATTCTCACTCCTCTAAATCCAGTCACTTTTAATGTCTAGAGCTTACTAAAATTCACTTATTTTCTTTGTGTACTTCTTGTGTTTTATAACTAGATGTAATTATTGTTACATTTTATTTTAAATGTTAACTCTTTCAATTTGTCCTGTTTGTCAAAAACAGACCCACATCATCTTAGGGAAGAGGAACTCTAAGATTTTAATGTTGCTCCAAATACAGTGGGTTCTGCTGGCTAGAAAAGGCTATAGCAGCTAGAACATTTTACCAAAGGTAGTCTATATTAATACAGAGTACTCAGGAGGAAACTCTTATGCAGCTGAACAGATGCACTGGAGGTTGATCCAGAAATCACGTGAGCTCTGCAGCGCCCTGTCCTTGCTGGGGCGCGGAGCTGGCACAGAGGGGCTCCAGTCACAGCCTGCGCTGAGCTCAGCCTTGAGCTGTGCCTGTTTGGGGCTCCAGTGCCCTCCAGCCCTTCCTAGGGAGGGCCCAGCTGGGCGTCGTTCCTGGAGTTCAGCCTCAGTATGTGCTGCAGAGCATTTCCCAAGTGCTGAATTTCCCCTGGGCTCCCTCTTAAAATGTTTGGCAGACAGTGATGGTTMTGATTGTGTCTTTTTAAAGCAATGCAAGTACTGAATGTTTAGCGTAATGGTTTTAAATAAAGAGCTTTTAATTCTATTGTTGTTTTTTTCCCCCAGAAATATCCTGAAAAGCTGTATTTTGAGGGCTTGGCAGAGCAAGTGAACCCACCAGTTCAGATCCAGCCTCAGTACCTACCCATTTATTTTGGAAACGTGTGCCTGCGCTTTTTGCCAGTGTTTGACATTGTAATCCACAGATTTCTGGAATTGCTTCCAGTGTCCAAATCGTTAGAAACTTTATTGGATCATCTGGGAGGTTTATACAAATTCCATGGTGAGTAACCTACGGATGTAAAATCTTTATTCCAGTTGTGATTATTCTGTTCTCTTTTTTTACATTGTTATTAAGAAAATACTGTAGGCATTGAATACTGGGCTGTGTGAGCTAGCTGAGCACTGGCAACAACCACGGTCTGCAAACACAGTGGTGTGTGACCCGTTCCTCTTTTGTGAGCCCCATCCACCTCCAAACAGAGAGGCACAGTCCCTGCTTAATGAACTTCAGCCTGCTAATAGCAAACTTCTTTTTATTCAGGTTACCACTGCTCTTTCATTCCTCCTTTACACATTTCCCTTTCACTCCGTTCCAGGAGCCCTCGCTGTACTAGCATTTGTGAGACCCAGATGGAAACAGTTAAAAACAAAAACAGTTTCTGCACCTATTGTTTTTACCAAAACATTCAAAAAACTTAATGTGTGTTTTGGAAGGTATTTGTTTGTTTGTTTTGTTTTTTTTTTCCTTGATTTTTTTTAAACACCTATATAACTGCACCTGCTATAGCTGACATTGCTAAAAGTCTTGAGCGATATAACAGAGCAATATTCTGTCTTTACAATCACCTTATATCTGTTTTCTTTCTATTTACTGCCTCTTAAATGAAGAGATGATGTAGAGTGTTTATGAATATTAGCATTATCATAAATACATAAACAAGTGGCAATATAGATTTTTCTTTAACCACTGCTAGCCCTTCCCACATGCACTAAAGTCATGTAGGGTTCTTGGTTGCTTTTTGTGTTTCTTAGCACAACCGTGCTGCGAGGGGCTATTTCTGTGGGGTTTTTGTTGGCTCCGTCTGTGTTCACTGGTGTTCCTTGCTCCTGTCCCTTGTTCCCTGGTGTTGCTGCCAGACCGTCCCGTGACCTACCTGTACAACACGCTTCACTACTACGAGAGGCACCTGAGGGAGCGCACGAACCTCAAGAGGAAGCTCGTCCACGCCATCATCGGCTCCCTCAAGGACAACCGCCCCCTGGGCTGGTGCCTSAGTGACACTTACCTCAAATGTGCTATGAACGCCCGGGAAGATAACCCATGGATTCCTGACGACGCTTATTACTGTAAACTCATCGGAAGGCTGGTAGACAATATCCTTAAAATCTGTGTCAAATAAGGGGTGTCAACATCTCGCAGCTTCGTTTCGTCAAAACATAAAGTTCAGCTGCTATTTGTTCAATGTGCAATAGAGTTTTCTTTGTTGTTGCTGAATCTGCCAGGCTAAATTCAWATTTAGTTTCAGTGTATTTGCACCATATGGTTTGTTGCTAGAGGTCTGAAGAAAGTCAAATCAGTGAACTAGGTAAGCGGACAACTGATTTGAGTTGATCATGAAGTATTAGTGATGGTGACTTTTGTCAGTACAGAGCAGTTCCTTGTAATTTGAGAAATTATTTGGAAGCAGAAAGTAAAGCTATGTTTTTTTCTTTGTATTTCATCATTTTTCTCCTTGAAAAATAAAAATGCTCACCTAGTAATAAATTATGGAAAAATATAGTTATAACAGCAAGTATAATACAGCTATATAAATATTTCAGTTTAATGCATCACTTTAAAATACAAATAGTGACATTTATGAATTTCCAATTGAATTTTAATTCCCACATAAATGTTTAAATAACAAGCTAAAAAATGAGATTGCATTTTTTCCTAATACTGTTATTAAGAATAAAATACTGTAAGTAGTGCCACACTTACCAACATATAATGGGTTGTATGCAGTCAGGAGCAGTATGCTTGCTATTTTTAACTGATGAAACTCTATTTTTTGGAGGGAAAAAAAGTAGAAAATGCATATTTAACACAAACCTAAATTTACTTTAATTACTGCTTTTTATTTATTGATTGCAGTTATGTATACAGCTACTTTACATTACTTTTGAAATAACCAAGTTAACTATTCTACTTCCATGCAAACACTGGCTGTGTTAGGACCTCTTTACTCGACGTACCCAGTGTGAACTAATCTTGTTCTGGAAAGCAGAAGATTTTCAAAGACTAAGAAGTTGCATGAAGTGAACAGAATCTGCTGGGCAGCTTCTTACTGAAGCAAGTTAATGTTTTCAGATTATGCAGAATAGAAAATCGTCATCGTTTTTGTTGTCTCTTTGTTGTCTTGATTTGGAAGACAACCCATGTGGTGATGGGATGTTTGGTGGTGTTTTCCACTTGATGAGAAAAATACATCCCTTGTGTGACACTTCATGTGCAATACACCTGTAGTTGTGTATTTATTATATTATTTATGTAGTCCTTTTGTGCCCCTTGCTGCCCGAATACCATTTGTTGCCATTTGATGATACTTTTTTCCGTATGTCTTAGTTTCATGAGCTCTGGTTGTTATGCAGCGTATCTTTCACTTCAATTGGATTTTGTATGTGTGGTGTATGCATCTACTTTAGAACAGTTTGTTTTTACTAGTCATAAATAGGAAAGTTTCTTTTCCTTAATCATTGTTACCTATGGCAGGCAAATCACCTGGTCCATTCCCAAATTGTGACTGGAGATTCAATGAATTTCCTAACCCAGCTGCCCATGCTCTGCACGTTACCTGCGTTGAACTCATGGCCCTGGCTGTTCCAGGGAAGGATGTGGGCAATGAGCTGCTGAATGTTGTGCTGAAGAGGTATGTTGTCTCTCTGACACTTCTTCTACAAGTTCTAATACATCAGCTACAGCTAAGGTGGTCTGTTATTATCATTTTCTTTTTTTTCTTAACTTTGAGTATCAAAATTTTTCAAAAAATATATATTTTTGGATGACAAACAGGGTTGTAGGGATCAAGTAGTGTGTTGGACTTTCATGTTGTGAGAGAAAGTATTGTGTCTGCTCTGGAATGGTTGTCCTTCATGATCCTGTTGAAGCAATGAAGGAAACTTCTCACTCTGGGTGATGACTTCTCCATTGGTTTCAGTGGYACCAAGGCTGGGAAAGAGCTGTTCTTTCATGCAGGGTAGGGAGACTTCATGAGCTTTTACCACAGGATTTTGAGTACAAAGAAGGAGATGGGCTAGAAGGGATGGGCAGTGCTCTGGACCCTCCTGGTGCTAATATAAACTTTTGAAGAACATGTGCTACAAAACCAAAATCCTTTCTGAGCAACATTTTGCTGTCAGTGTCACTGTCTCTGTATTGCAATTTTAGCTTCTCAAGGACTATTCTCTGTGTAAGTGTGCCTTCTTTTTAAGAACATTTGTGAATTTCAGGATTTGCATTTTTCTTTTTTTTTACCTTTTTGGTTTTTTTTCTTTCTCCCTGTCTCTAGTCAGCCCCTGGTGCCAAGGGAGAACATCACAGCTTGGATGAACGCTATTGGACTAATTATCACAGCCTTACCGGTGAGTCCATGTGTCTTTATTTTTATTAATCTTCTTCAAAATTAGAGCACATTGTAAGAATTTTTTCAGTTTGAAGTGTGAGAGCCAACATGTGTACATTCTTCAGTAAGTCCCTCTGAAGGCCATTTGTATATTGAAAAACATCTTTATCTACTCCACTACCATTGAAAATACAGCCATAATTTTTATTTTTCTGTTATGTTTTTGAGACTAGGGTGAAAAGAAGTAAAAAATTCTTTTTGAAAACATGGTTAAATGCATAGTATCAATTGAGAACAAGTGATGAAATGAGAACATCTGTATGGTTTCTGATGCAAAGCTTATTTTGCATTAGCACTTGCACATTCTGTATCCCTTAAAACATACACGTGATGTGACAAAGACTGAAAGCAAACGTGTGAATGTTAGAGTTCTTATTTTTGTAGTAGCTTTGATCTTTGGAATATACTGACTCGATGGTTGTTTCCATTGAGCATCAGGGCTGTCTACTAACTTTGTTTTTGTTTACTTATTAAAGTTGCTTGTGAGTTCAGCAATGTCCTGCCTGTTTCTCTCCTTGCATCTTCATCTCTGTTGTAAATATAAATCGATTAAATATGTTCTGATAACGCCACATCCTTTTCTTATAATATGGGGTGCAATGTATTGTCCTTTGTAAGAAAGTTTCTGGCTAGGCAGGGCTATAAAATACCATGTAGTTGAGAATATTTTGTAAATACAATGATGGAGAAGAGATGAGAAAGCACTGCCTTACATGTTGCTCTTTCCAGAAATAATTCAGGCCTGTGTTTTTCCCAGGAGCCGTACTGGATTGTTCTCCATGACTGCATTGTGAACGTTATCAACAGCCCCAGCCTGACGTCAGAGACAGAGTGGGTTGGTTACCCATTCCAGCTCTTTGATTTCACAGCGTGTCACCAGTCCTACTCTGAGATGAGCTGCAGCTACACTTTGGCTTTGGCACATGCCGTCTGGCATCATTCCAGCATTGGACAACTTTCCCTCATTCCCAAGTAGGTGTAGATACTTGGTAATTTGTTTTTTTTAGAATTCCATCCATATTCCACAGCTCTCCCCTAAAGATGTGTTCTTGTCAAATAGTGACTATTGTTTTAATGCCAGTGYTAAAACTTGAGGGTGCTCCTTTCTGCTTGTGCATCCTCAGGATGTGCTCAGCACGATGTGAGTCTCGGTATGTGAGACTGTGAGCATCCTTGGGACAAGGGGGTGTTTTCTAGTCCAGTCTTCCAGAGTTTTGCTAAAATAACTCTCGTTTCTTGAATTGCACTCTATTTTCTAAAATGAATGCCCAGATCTTTGAGAGAATTAGGTGTTTTAGGTAGAGTTTGGGGTAGGGAGACTCCTCTGCAAGTAATGAGTGTCTTGAAAACCTGCAGGTTCCTCACAGAAGTGCTGATACCCATAGTGAAAACGGAGTTCCAGTTACTCTATGTTTACCACCTTGTTGGTCCTTTTCTACAACGGTTCCAGCAGGAGAGGACACGATGCATGATAGAGGTAAGGTTATCCCTTGACCTAACTTCTGCAGCCTATTTTGTTCTTGTCTTGCAATTAAGACAAAGCAGGATTTGAGTGAGTTTTCTGATACGAATTCAGCCATGTACTCTGTATTTGCATCATGTTTCTTCCAAGGAGCTCAACTGCTGTTTGTGGATCCAGGTGCCCAATTAATTGGAGTCTTGTCAGCTTAGGTCAGGATGAGATACTTCGAGCTTCAGTAAAACCCAAAATACCCACAACCAAGCTGTCTAGGCCAAATGCACACATTATCTGCCTCTAAAACAGCATGCAAAATATGTATCGGAACAGTTGCTTGTTTTTAAAGTTTCTAGCCAGAGGAAAGAAGATTTGCAAAAACTGGAGATTGCAAGGATGGTAGAGCATAGATGGCTCCATACAATCATATGGATGTGGGTAAGGGCAGGGGAGGAAAAATCAAACAGATGTGGCCCCCAGGCAGCAGAGTCCCTTCTAGAAAGAAGAATTAAGCTTGGGAATCCTCRGCCTTTGAATTTCTTTTTTGTCAGTAACTATCTGCAAAGCCTACATGGCAGTAGAGTGTCTCATCTCCTTCTATTGCCTTAACAACATGGCCTGTAGAGCTGCCTCTGCCAATAATTATTTTTTCATCTCCAGTTGTCAGAATCTCTGCTGGGGATGATGTCAACCTGCATCTCCCTAGGTCCCCTTTAGGAGCTGTGCTGCAATTTTTTTTACCCCCCCCCCCCCCCCCAAATTCTTCCTGAAAGATTTTGCTTGTATGATCATTTTGGAAGAAGTCACAAAATGCAGGGAAGCACACACTGGGAAAAGAATTGTGCAACTTTTTTCTTTTTCTTTTTTTTTTTTTCCTCTCCAAAATGTACGGATATATCTGGAACTTGGGATACTGTAAGAAGCTATATCAGGTAGTTAAATAATCATATAACAGGATTCTTAGAAGTTGCTTCTGGTCTAAGGAAATGTTGCTGAGTTGCAGTCCTCAGAATAGGGCAACAAATGCCACATGACTTGYGCTTTGTGGTTGGTCATTTAAGCTAATTTAAATTTCACACCAGCTTTTTTAAATGGCCAGAGTGTGACATTGTTTGTGCGTAACGCTTCCTTAATAGGTATCCTCAAACACTTTATCTAATCACAAGCTGTTTGTGGAGAATACTTGAACCACTGCATTGGACCCTTGTTTAAGCCAAAATGGAGGTTAAACACAGTGATTCATAATGTCTTCTTTCTAGTAGACTCAAATCTTAATAATAAGTTTCTCATCGTTATTCAGGTCTAGTTTTGCAAACTACACTGGCAGTTACTCGAAACGTTTTGCAATCAATGATGTTTAAGCAGTAGCTGTACAGAATGTACAGAAGTATCATTGCATTGATTCAAACTTAACTTAGGAAAAAAGGATGGTTTAGCTGACTGTAATGGGGTGGGCTAGACTTACCCATTTGCCCTTGGAAGAAACGAAGTAGCTAAGAATCTCTTATATTGAAAAAGCAATACATATGTTTATTATACTCTTTAGCTGTATTTCCTGTCTGAAACATTTTGAAAGCTGTTTTTCCTTGAAGTGTTTGCTTTGTTGTGTCTGCTGAAACAGATTGGAGTGGCATTTTATGAAATGCTCCTGAATGCCGATCGATACAGCCCACACCTGAACTATATGGATCCTATATGTGATTTCTTGTATCATATGAAGTACATGTTTACAGGTGACAGTGTGAAAGAGCAGGTAAGTAAACAGTAGAGATTGATACTTATCTTTTTTTAATAGCAATGTAGCAATTCACTCTCTTTCTGAATTATCTTCATATGTAGCAGTACAACAAAGCCCTGAAGAGTTGACTCATTTCTATGCACACAAGTTGGGAAGCTTGTACGGTTTTATACAATTAAGTTTGAGATAAGTAAACTGTCTCAGGCTAGGTGACTAATTTCTGTGGTCTGCAATTTAAGGTGTAGCTTGAGAGTGCTTTAAGTGCTTTCAGCTTTTCARTACTCTTCAAGTATTTAAACAACAACTAGAAATGAATCTATATAAACTTAAGGAGTCCAACCAGAAGTTGTCATGCTAAATAGCTTATAAATACCACTTTTCAGTCGATCTTTTTCCTCTTTTTCCTTTTGTATTGTTGCAGTGTGATGTTACCTTTTGTAGTATAATATGTCAGAACATTCCTGTTCATTAAATACATTTCTGCTCTTTTTTTATTAATGTTTTTGTTTTGCAGGTTGAGAAGATCATTTGCAACTTGAGGCCAGCCTTGAAGCTCCGCCTGCGCTTCATAACGCACATCAGCAAAATGGAGTCGGCCGCTGTCACCCAGCAGCCTCTCAGCAACGGGTCGCCAGCAGCACAGCCTAACCAAGTGCCTGTCAACGTGGCCTTGCCTGTAACACAGTGAGAGGAGGCTTTAGGCTGGCCTCCAGGTGGAGATTCCTTCCTTTGTTGGTTGGTGTTTGTTTTTAGGTGACGGAGGTGATCCGTCATCTGATACTTCATGTTCTGTGTGGCAGGGAAGAGAACTATGTACAGAATAATGTTTTGTTATGTGTAATGAAGCTGTCTAGTCACCTGCATGCCAGTCTCTGTTTATATGGGACGCTAGATGAGGTAAATGCTGCCTTTCTCTGAAAGCGCTGAGTAAAGGTTCCCTGCACGCAGTCAGGGAGGTGGAATTCGGAAGAATTTATAGTCTCCTGCTCCCTAGACTAATTTGAGTCGTCTTGGGTTTTTTCCTTATTTTTTWTTGTATAACATGAAATGATACTTGGGCTATGTAAGCTGATACAGGCCTTCTTAAATTTGGCTTTTGCCTTATTGAAAAGTTTGTATTTTTTGTCCCACAGGAGAATTTAAATAATTCTTGTCTTTTGGTAACATAAATCAAGCTCTTACACAGAAAAGTCCCTCAATGGGAAGCTGACATCAGTGCAAGTGGATTAACTGCATCTCCCCAAAGACGGAGTCTGACCCTTTGGAAAAATTATGTAAATTTATAATGTGCAGTTTCCATTCAGCAAATGAGCAATGGGTTTCAACTAGCATGATTTACAAGGCTATTAGATTATTACACAGAGGCTGTCTCTGTTGAAAATACATGTATTCAGTAAAGCTGTGCTGGCTGATATTTTATCTTTCCTATTTGGGAAATGGTGTAATTTTTATGAAGTCAATCTCAATTTGTTGATATCTTATTATACTTTCAATTTGTATAGTATTCTGCTTTCATTCTTTGTTTTAAAACATGTTCAGCAGGTTTTGATAAAAGTGAAAGGATGTTTTGTAAATATTCACCTTGTTTGACAGGATTTTTTTAATTAAAAACTTTAAAGACTGTCTAATAGTATTTTTAAGCTTATTTATTTCCCTTGTTTATTCCTTAAGTTTAGAAGGAAAGACATAGCAAATATATTTTCACATCTATCAAGTCCTTTGAACAGCTTTATGAACTTGAACCTATTTCCCCGAGTCCAAATCAATACAGTTAGTTTTGATTTAACGACTATAAGAAGAAACTGTAGTTATGGATAGGAGTTGTTCCTTCCCYGGGTGAAAGTCTTTTATGGAAGGCTGTTGGCTGTACAGAGCAAAACTGCATTGCGGGAAACTGCTGTCATTTGTATTGTACTTAAACCCTAAATTCTGGCAAGTGTAGTTTGACTAACTGTAAATAGTGCACGGTCTTTCTTAAACCCAGTCTGCAGTTTGATATAAAACCATGTCTGCCTATCACATGCCATTTGTTTGGTTTAAAGGATATTATATATTCCTTACCAGGTTTGTAATTATTCCTGTATTTGTTGGGTGGGATTTTTATAACAAGCTGGTGGCTGCAGTGACACCAGACTGTGCTCGCCTTTTCTGACTCTCTATAGAGATTATCTGTTCAGTAAAATTTGAACAGCCTATGGTAATACRTCTGACTGAGTATTGAAGATGGATGGAAAATTTTGCATTTGATCTTTAACCACTAGAGGGAGACTCATTCACAAATTTAATTTCATCGTCAGTTAACTGTGTGGAATGAAACATCCTGAACTCCCAAATCTTCCTTGGATCTACCACAGGGGTTTTCTTTTTTTTAAGATTTAATAACCTTGAAACTATATTACACTATTGTCCATTAGGTATGAAATAGGCTTCACCCAGCCCCAATAGATATTTGCTAGAGGACTCYCTAAAGCTACCAGATTTGGAGAAAAGAAGAAAAAAATAAAAGGCTTCCCAACAAATGCATCTAGGACACAAAAGAAATGCTTCACAGGTGCTTTTTCCTCTTTTTAGTTCTTGTGGCTGCACAGAGAGAAACTGAGAGAAGAATCTGCAAAACAGAAACACGGTGCTGAATATCATGGTTTTCAGTCCTTCATCCTTGTCAAAATATTTTTAAATGTCAGTCATTTAGTGCACGTATCAGTTACWGAGCTGATGAAAGGTTTGCATCATTAACTGCCTCAAAAGCAAGCAATAGATGTAGCACTTTAGATTTTAGCCCTGAGGCTTTTTAGAACAAAGTAGTATTTGTGGTTTGGCAGCCTGTGACTGAAATCGTGCACCCTTTCTGGAGGTGCACAAAAACGGAGTAATGGCGCTGCACGGCCTGCTGCCTTAGCTTCCTGAGCCTTCCCACATCCTGGATTTGTTTCCATCATTCCTGCTGCTGGAAGGGATCCTACAGGAAGGAATGGGCATCGTGCGTGGAGTACTCTGCATTTCTGTAAGCTGAAGAATATTTTTGTTTTTCCACTGTGTCTTTGTCCCTTCAGCAACTGTGAGCATGAGCAAGCACAAATGAGCTTGTTTAGGGTCTCCTTGTGTATTTGCTTGTTGTTTTTAGGATCCAGAAACCTCCACAAAATAGTTGCAACACACTGATCAGTAGTGGCTGGGGGGGCTGTATGGGAGGGGGAATTCATTTTTACATCGTGTATTTCCTCCTGTCTTGAGCATCTGCTTTTAGCTGTGGTCAGAAACACACACCTGTGTTTTCTTCAAGTCATCTGAAGGAAAGAAACATCCTGGGGGGKTTTGTTTGTTTGGGGGGGCTTTTTTCTGCCCTACACCTCTGCTCCGTGTGCCTGTCTGCGGTGCTCCTGCACCCTGCAGCGCGGCTCACGTCTGCTGCTTCACCCCGTGGTGTTTCATGGGCAGCAGCTCTGTGACTCGGTGCTGTGCGGCCCATGTGGCAGCTAATGGGTTGCTTTAAYGAGAAGGGGGCTCCTTCATTTATTCTTCCTCCTGAAATGTGCAGGAATCCTGGTTGTTGGCCTTGTCAGAGGAATTGGATGGATTCCTTTCGATGGTCCCTCTGAAGTGCCTCGCTCTGAAAAGTGGAAGTTTTCTTTCTGTTTCAGCTCTGTTTCAGCACGYATCACACCCAGGCCAATTTGTAGTTTAATTAAAAAACTGAAATGGCATATACCAAAGTGCCCCCACATCAGTGTTGTATGTGGGATTTTTAAAGCGGTGCCGATGTCTTGGAAGCACAAAGCGGAGCTCCGTGAAGGAGCAGAGATGGAGGGAGGCCGGGCAGCACCCGCACGTAGTAAASAGCTCACTGGGCCCAGGGAGGCGCTCTCACACGCTGAGCAGGGGCCTGGTCCTTCCTTTCCTTTGCTCTGTAGGTAACTCACAAGTTTGACAGCGTGCGTCTCTTGCTGATGATTTTTACTCTTCAGAAGTGCCCCTATGTAAAGCCATGTCCGGGTCAGAGCTGTGCGTGACCAGGACTCGCAGCCGGGAGAGCAGAAAGCCCTGCTGGAGTAACAAATGGCCGCCGGTGAAGGAAGAAGCCTGAAGAAAACTCTGCATCTCAGTGCCCCTAAGCTGCAGCTTTTGCTACCTCGTTACTGCCTCCCCGAGGAGCAGCGCTGGGCTGCTGCAGTCTCTGGATTACTTGTCTGAACCTCGGTTCTAGTCCTTTATTTTTTTATAGATGCTGTTAGCAAGGGGTTTGGACACCTCAGACTTTCATGTGTGTCTCTAGAAAACATACCTGAAAAGTGGAGTGTTATTATCCTGTCCATTGCACTGGAGGTTATGACTCTCATAACACTGCCTAGGAAATACATGATAAAACATGAACACAGATGCCCTCATGCTGTTAGGCCGTGCATCCAAACCCTGAAGTTGGGATCTTGCTCTGAATTGCCCTGAGCACTTTCTTTGACCTGTCCATAGAGGTAAGGAGTCTAGGTGCCCTAAGCTGGGTGGTATAAATGCCATCCAGTGACCTCTGGGAAGCGCTAAATTCTCTCTTAGCAAAACTAGCGAGGAAGGGAAGTCTGGTTGGCCCCACTGCAGACAGCTCTGATGGCTGCAGCCACCAAACTGTGGGCAGGCCGAGKGCAGCTTGACAGGCTTCCTGTACGACGTTTGTACCACCACTCAAGACTTGCAYGGCCCTATTCTCCTCTAACATAAAGATTATAACTGTCATGACATTTCTTTTTCTGGATGAAGCCTCTTTTGCCAACATTCTGCACTTGTGAGCAGTGGCAAGTGCATTAAAAGTTATTAAAACTCCACAGAGAGTTATCTAAAATAAAATTAGTGTGTTCAGCATGAAGTGACAGCCTGGCATTAGCTGTATGATGGCAGCGGAGTTGAGAAATTCCATGTTGGTTCCTGCTGCCGCTGGAGCTTGGGCATGTCAGTGTTTATTAAATGCAGYCAAAGGGGAGAGCAAGAACAAGGCCCTGAAGGAGCTAGTCCCTTCACTGAAGCRCTTACGTCCTGTAAATGAGGGTGTGAAGGAATCAAAAATAGGTAGGTAAGGAAAAAAGCTTTCTTGGRTAGTAATTTCTTGTGTTTTCTTATTACTGTTTCCTATGAGATGTGTTTATGGAGGTGTTTGGCAACTGGAGAAGGACTGTAGAAGATAAGGAAGAGATTAACAGATGGGAAAGGAAACACTTGATCTTCACAGAAGCGTTGTAGCTGCATTTTTTGAAGAAAATCCCCCTAGGCTCCTTTCCTCCTTGATGCCACTTCTGCTGAGATGTAATTTAACAGAAGAGGAACCTGATCACGGCTAATCAAGTCCATTTTACTGTGTCTTTTATTCTCAGGCCCCAGCTGAGCAGGGAAAGGAGAATATTCCTTCTTTGTGACTTGCCTGAAGACTGAAAGATGGGAAAAAAACTGAAAAAGACTGACTATGCACACCACCACACTCGCAAATTTTCATCTGCACCCAGTTAGAGCTTGGCCTTTTTCTACGAATCCCATTGCTCCATAGATATGGCAAAGGGAGCCAGAACCAATTTATCCATYGGATATTGCAGAATTAGGGTAGTTCCAGGAACCAAAGCCATAGATTGATGATAAAAAGGGTTCTGCAACAGTGCTTCTCCCATCCCTCCTGCTCCACTCACTTAGGCCCCACAGTCTCCCTGCTCCCTCGCTGCCAAGACGCTGGTGCCTCCGGTGRTCCAGAGCACAGCATCCACAACAGCCATGTCCTGGTCACCCTGCTTTATGTAGGGACATTCAGGCACTTAAAGCTGAGTTTTGACAGTGTTCAAGTCAATATACGTGAGAAGTACCTCCTGAGATATGGGGCAAGATAATCTGTTGAGAGCCTCAACTGCTCAAAACACTGGGAAAATCAGAAAAATCAGAGTGTTTCTGTGGAGTTCAAAAGAAAGATGAGAAATATTGGTCTGAGAAGCAAAATCTGTGAAAACTCTTATTCCCTCTCAGTAGAAAAAAGTACTTACACATTTTTCATATTTGGAAGCCTGCTGGTTTTTTACCTCATGAAAGGAATGAGCACTCTTGAGGAAAGGTCACAGGCAGTAGCACCTTCGTAATTCACAGTGTCACATGCTCTGAGCTAAAGTGTTTCTATCTTGATCCAAGATAGTCAGAGGTGTTGTTTACTTGTCCCTTTGGAAAAAGGGCTCCAATTATTTCAGTTAAGAGCTTCAGCTTGACGCTCGTGTCGTGCCTCTTCCCCTTTGGGGAACTGCACCAAATTTAGCAGATTCTTCCCTTCGGGTAGCACATACTCACTTGCTGTGCTGCCAGAAAGCAGGCTCCCCTCATTCACAACAAAGGTGAAGTTACTTTAAGGTGATTTGTTTTGCTTTCCATCCACAGAAAAAAAAAGAACAAATGCAAAAGGAAAAAAAACCCAAACCAAAAAACAAAACAGCATCAGTTACTGCTTTCTTGTCCTTGGGTCTACTGCAAGAGAGTAACTCTTTT